TAAATAAAACTTATTATTAAAATAGTGTAAATAATATTCAAGAACAAATAAAAAGATAATATAAACAATATAAACTTAAAGTAGTCAAAAATAGTCTAACGGTTGAAATTAAAGTAATCCAATATTTTAAAATAAGTCAATCCCTCAAACATAACTAAATGATCTAAGTTACAATCATTGCCCAAGTAACTTACACTCATTCTTATGTGCTACTTGTGACACCTTAAATCAAATAAGTTCTATCGAGAAGGGAAAACTACCATGCTTAGCCATAACACTTTGATGGACCTTGATAAACGTCCCTTAGTGAGGTGATTCAACGATGATCATTGTTATGGGGTTGTCCCTACACTATTCGATGGGGTGGTTTTGTTTCATTACTCTTAAGCTATTTTATACATTCGATGATGAGGAAGAGATTGGTACCACGTGCGTATAGAGTTAGGAGCACACATCTCATGAGTTTTAGTTGATGAATATGGTATGTTTGTGATTGATGGACAGATGGTGATAGATGGAATTTGATGTATTAAACTGTTATTAATATTGTGCGAAACAAATGATGAAGGTGTATAAGATGTAATTGTTGTTTGATTGGTGTGCGTGTGTGTGTCTCTACCTTTATTTTGTTTATATGTTGTGATGGATAAAATGTATTCTCACTCTCTGTGTTTGTATGTCTGTGTTTGTGTTGATCACCATTTGTAGAAATAGAACAGGTACATGATGATAGATATGAGGAAGGAGAACAAAAAAGAAGAGTCTTACTCTGATAGTGTGACATCAGAACTGAGTTTTAGGATTAATGGATGTTTTATGCTCAATTTTATATTAAGATATTTTGTTATCAAAACTTATTTGATTTAAGAAGATGTTTTTATTTCTTTTAAATGATATTTTATATATTTTATTGAAGAATGATGTGAACCCTTTTATAGGCTCATGAGAAGTATTATTACAATATTTTATTTTATGAATTTTTTGTTATATTTTATTTGTTAAATCTTTAGGGATAGAAGGGTGTCACATTTAGTCTCTAAATAGGATCCAGAATCTAGTCCAATTATTTTTTATGGGTTCCCCCTTTTTATTTTATTAAAAAATATTTATCTTTCCATTCTAATAATTTAATAATTTAGTTTTAAAAAAATAGGATATTACATCATTATTATTAAAATTTTAATATTAGAAAATAATATTCAGATAACGATTATAAAATAATAATAATAATAATAATTTTAGTTGATCCAATTCTCATATCAATGAATTTGTAATATGTAAATCCGTGATCCAAACTAATTAAGGTCAGATTTGATTGGTTTAAATCATATTTGATTCTGATAAAAAAAAATTGAACTAACTTAATTGGTTTGATTCGGATGATCATTTTTATCCGATTGTCCTAACTCTAATTAAGAAATAGTAAATAACTTAATATGTATAATTATTTTCAAGCTAAATTAATTAAATTTATAGTTATAGTATTATAAATCTCTTATTATTTATAAATTAATTGTCACTTTTTTAAAATTTAATATCAAAAAATATTTGTTAATACTTTTCTTTTAAAATAAATACTAATTATTTTACAATCAAAATGACATATTTGGTATATAGAATAGATCAGACAATTTTTTTTTAATTGACAACATTCACAAATTAGTAAGTTTATGGTTATGACTAGATAAAGGGTCATACTAATTACTGTTTTTAAAGTACTTGTCAAGAAATTAATAAATATTATTTTAAAAAAGTTACATGAAAATAGGAATGATATTGAATAGAGTCTCGACGAGGTACTATATAGTATGGATTCCTATTCCATGTACTTTTAAAAAAATATAACTAATTTTACACGTGCATAAGTAATAATAATTTTAAAATATAAGGATTATAATAACATCGGTGTAACTTTTATTAAGTATTACATCACTCAATAATTTTATATTAAATGTCAATTTTGTAAATTCAACAGCTAAATTGAAAGTTGTTTACTACAAACTTTTATATTAATTTAACAGTTAGATTGAAAATAGGAATGATATTGAATAGAGTCTCGACGAGGGACTATATAGTATGGATTCCTATCCCATGTACTTTAAAAAAAAATGTAACTAATCCTACACGTGCATAAGTAATAAATTTTAAAATATAAGGATTATAATAACATCGGTATAACTTTTATTAAGTGTTACATCACTCAATAATTTTATATTAAATGTGAATTTTTTAAATCCAACAGTTAGATTGAAAGTTGTTTACTACAAACTTTTATATTAATTCAAGATGATTTGATACTTCATTCTTATAAAACAAAATTGATGTAATATATACAGTTCAAAATATACTAAAATATAAACACTTTGATTACTTTCAAGTTGTTATTCAATTTTAACAAAATTTGATATAAATATGTTTTTAGTTCATGAAATTTTAAAAAAAAATATTTAAATTTTTATATTTAAATTTTGTTAGGGAATATGTTAATTATTGTTGCATAAAATTTACCTACTAATATTTTTATTAATTAAAATATCACATTAAACCCAACTAATATTACATAATTATCTCAATTTATCATTTTCAGATATATTATTAGTGACTTGTGACACTAAAACAAAATTTTTAAAAATTACAAGGACTAAAATACAATAATTTTAAATTTAAAGAATAAAAATAAATTTATCTAAAATTTGAAAAATTAAAAATTTATTTAAACTTTTTTTTTAATTCTCATCCCCAAATTTATTGGTTTCTAATCGTACTCTACCCACTTCTCACACTACTTAGAATAAAATATGCTTTCACTTTCTCTAAGAATTTTCAAGTTTCAATTTAGTCAAAAAAAAATTGTCCTATTCTAATCCATCTATTTATAAATATATGATTTTGGTTTTCAAAGTAATTTAGATAATATTTTATAACCACTTTTAACCATTATCTAGATCACTTTGAGAACTAAAAATGATTCATTTTCAAATTAGAAGGACCAAAATAGTAAAAGAAAAAACTAAAATATAACTTTAGTTCCTTATTTTTATTTTAAGTTTTAGTTTGAACTCTTAAGTTTAAAGTTTCACTTTAGTTCTTGTACATTTGTTAAATCATATTAGTCCTTCCGTTAATTTATCTCACTAATATGATTAATTTAGTGACATGTGATAAACTATAAAAATGTCACGTCAACCAAAAATAACATAATTAATACAAAAAGTTGACAAAGAGACTAATTAGACTAATAAAAATACTTTGAAACATCAATTTAAAACTTTTTAAATTAAAATCAAAGTGAACTACAATAAAAAAATAAAATAAAAAAAGGTACTCATTTATTTAATTTATAACTAATTTTTATAGAAAAATGTGATTGTTCACCTAAAAGTGAGATTTTATCCCCCAATATTATTTTTTTCCATCTACAAATTGTCAAATCTTATTTTATATTTTTTTCAACTATATAAATATGGATAAAAGTTTGATAATTATGTTTTTCTAACATCTCACTATGCATATATAAAGACAAATAGGTTCAATTTATTTTTAACACGGTTATTCATTCAATTAGGGTGTATTGTAATTAAATAATTTTGATTGCTATTAATTTTAAAAAAATAGATAAATAGAATTTTACGTCGTTATAAAATTGTTTCCTTTTAAAATAGTTCTCTAGAAAATTGAAATTATTTACATTTGACTTTAAAATTTATAAATAAGATTAATTATTTTAAATTGTGTTTTACATGACATTTAATTATTACTATCTCCTGTCTTTATTAGTGGACTTAAATAACTAATTCACCGAAGTTGAGAAAAGTTAGATTTTACTCCCTCCGTTTTTTATTTATAGTCGTTTTGTCAGAATTTATCATTTTTTTTTCATTATCATTTTACTAAAATTAATGAGTTATTAATTTTTTCTCTCTCATTTTTACCCTTGATAATTAAGGTATGTTTACTGAACAATGTGTCTATTTATTTTTAATGTCTATCTATTTTTACTCCAATTACCTATGTAAAGTTAATGTTACATTTAAAAGGACAATATGTTTCTAAAGAAATACTATAAAAAATAGAGGGTAGAATAGAAAAGTAAGTAATAAATATTTTTGAAAACTAAAATATCAATCATTTTCTTAAGTCCCGTGCAAAACCTTAAACGACTATGAATAAAAAACGAAGAGAGTATTAAAGATCAATTAATATATCTTAAATTTTACTTTTTTCCAAAACTATATATATTAACGAGACACTTAATATAATTTTAAAATTTTCACATTTAAATAACAAAAGATAACACTATTTTTATTTTAAAAGATATAAATTAAATGAATTTCACTTACTTTTTAAATTCAATAAATATATTTAATAAGAATATTTTTTAAATAAAAAATTAATATTTGACATATAATAAAATTTTATAAAAAGGATTGAAAACATAACCCTATAATAAAGACCTGTGGGGGTATTTTTTATATATAGCGACTACAAGATTCGAACACAATTTTGTACATATTTTTTCAACTTTCTCATTGGATCAACTCTAATAGTTCAATGTTTAATCATTATAATACTTAACATAAAATTAAAATTTATTAAAATAATCAAAAGTAAAAATAATTATAGTCAATAAGTTTGTCTTTCCTATTATTATTTTGCATCTAAGTGAATTTGTTTGGATTAAAAAAATAAAATAAATTACAATATACTATTCAGTTCACTTTAACATAAATTTCTTAAAACTACTAAAACTGAATGGTGGGAGATTGAGATATACAAGTCTTAAATTCAATTTCTGTTATTGTGATTATTAAAAACACATACTTCTCTATCCAATTTTATAATTTTTAAGAAATTTTTAATCAATAAAAAATATATTGAAAAAAAGTAAATGAGAAAGTGTATTCCTGCCGGAATTACTTGTTCAAAACCCTTCCCAATTCCCATGCACCTGAGGTTTGTGGAAGGTGTAATAATGACTCGTGAGTAGAACTGCAGGCAAGTTGTTTTAAATTCAGACACTGTTGGCAATTGAATTTATCTGTCCCAAACATGGTGGTTATTAATTACTCCATTATGTAGAGAAATAGAATATGGCTATAACAATGTTTCCACAAAAGACAAAAACTAAGGAGAGTGAAAGTTGAAATTAAAGGACGAGAATAGTAACTAGCGAGGAATGGTGAGAAAATCGTTTGAATGGTTCAATAGAAGCAGATCCTGAGTCTTGGTCTTCTTGGAGGATGGAATTGGAACAGAACCACCTAACTCCCAAGACTCATCCGAACTATCACAGCTAAACGACTCATCCATTACGCCGTTTGGGCTACAAGGAACGGACTCAAACTTCCGTTTATTCACCTTCCATCGTTTTCCCTCCTCATCGTACCCCCACACAACCTCCAACATCACTTTGTAACATTCTTTCACTTTCTCCTGCAATGTATCAATTCCAGAATTTAGACAAAAATAATACCCTTTATATTATAAAGAATCTCCAATCACAAATGCTTAATGCATTTATTAAACATAACAAATACTAGCTTTTATGTACGTGATTTATTAAATACTAATAATTTATCTAATGGAGATGCCATCATGACTTTTGACTATGAAGCATGAAAAGATTAAGAAAGCCCCATTTTCCATTATTTAATTAGAATAATACATTGATTTAAGAAAACACTAACTACCTTGTCGATTCCAAGAATACCCAAGAGCTGATCTTGGTATTCCACTCCAAGATGAGGCTCCACAGTATTGACCACGCGCATCACTGTAGCGGTTGCCAACACAGAAGGAAGGTAACTCATGAATCTGGAATCTGCGATGTTAGATTACACAATGATAATAAGAATAAGGTGAATGAGTCAAGTATAAAACCAAGAAGCAAAGCATAAGATCTGGGAAGTACTGAAGTAGTTACCTGTGAAGACAGAGAGAAAAACGGTTTCACACCTTCTGAGAAAGTCCTGGCAGAGATAACCCTTTAACCCAAGTTTCCTTGTGATATAATCGAGAAACGAGAGAGGCGTTACTGGATTCATCTTCCATCCAAGCGTGGAAAGGACCAAGATTTCCATTCTCTTAACCGTTTTCGCTTCAAACAAGTACCTACTCTCGTCCACCTTCATCAACACATACAATACAATCATCGATCAAAATCCCACATCGGTTAATAATATAGTTAAAACAACGTATATAAGTGAGGAGAAACGTACCTGGAGGTCTAGATGAAGGGGCACGTGGGTCTCTTCTACCTTAGCAGCGAGAGAAAGGCAAGCCACTGCGGCTAGTTGCGTGAGCCAAGGCTTGTCGTTCTGAAACGTGAAGCCGAAGAGGAACCTATCGAGGTAGTTAACAGCGAGAACTGCGGTGAGGGTAGAGAAGGAGTAATGGGCACTCACCCTCAGAACCCAATCCACTGCTTCTCCGCGAGATAAGGCCAAAGTGGGCTTGTTTTGGAGACAGTTAGAGAGTTCATTGTGATGTTCTTTGGCGAGAAGACTTTGTAGCTCCTCGTTGCCCCAGAAGAGGTCGTGGTCTAACAAGACAACACGCGAAGAGCTTTTGTTTGTGGTACTGTACTCATCATGGTCTTCTACTTGTTCTTTCTCCCAATGAATGTGGTCTTCTAAGCAGTAGAGGGTTTCTAGGTGGAGTTTTGGGTGATGATGTGCCATTTTTCTTCTAACGAAGAGAAGAAGAAAAGTAGGAGGATTTGGTGTAGTGGCATAGATTTTATGTGGAAGACCAGATTGTGAAATGCTTTGATGGATTGGACATTGGAGAGATTACCCTGTTTGAGAGGAGAAATGAATAGAAGGGAAAGGGGGTAGTGAACGAGCAATGACCATAAACTAAAGGCTCTTGTTATTTATTGACGATGGCCTTTCCCAAACGGCAGCGTTTTGGGGAGAAATTCTTTAACACCGATTAATAAATAAATTATTGCCATAAATAATTTTAGGAGTCCACAGTTTCCTGACTTATTTCAACTTAAAAGGTAAATTAGTTCTTTTTTAATTTCTTTTACTTGAAATTCTTCTTTCTAACATATAGTCAGTCTCTTGTTTTGCTTTCGTCAAAATAACATTATTATATATGTAATTAAAAGATAAGGGGAGAAATAAAATAAACATTACTCTTCAAAATCATGCATTTGGTTTTCCTTGTGTTGATTGAAGCTATAATAAGTTGCTAGATTTGATATATGTTTTAAAAATTAAAATAAATTTAAAATACATATTATATAACAAATTTATTATCAACATAAATATAACTAATAGTCAATCTGTTGTGTATGTGTGTGATTATTAAAATAAAGTAAAATATAATATGCATAAATATATTTTATAATTATTAACAAGGTTTTTTTTAATTAAGAATTTATTTGGATAAATTTATCATAAAGTGCTTATAGGAGAAAAAAATAAAAAAGAAAATCAAAATAAATTTCTTTATAAAGTTAAAACTAATATGTTCATAAACAAATTAAAATTTTGGAAAAGGTTTTAGAGGTTCTATAAGAGGTTTTAGAGAGATAAGTTTTAGAATCAAGGAGAACGAGCATCTAGATAATTCCTTGAAGTTGAGTAAATTATATACAAGTTGATATTCGAGCTAAAGAAGCTTATATTGTTATAGAGAAGTCAACTCTTAAGAGTTTGATAGTGTTTCCCCTTTCCTTTAGTTTCTTGTCTAATGGAAGTAAATTGAGGTAAGAGAAGTTTATTGTTTAATTCTTTAAGTTGATTTATGTTGCAATTGTTATTGATTCACCCATTGGTGGCTTGAATGTTGAATTATAGAGTTGTTTTTGAAGAGATAAAGTTAGGGATGATGAGAAAACACTAGTACAAAAAAGACCTTTAAAATTAATTTTTTTTTTTTACTTTTAAAATGAGTTATTTTTTCAATTTTGAAATAGTCACCCCAAACTTTTTAAATCAATTATTAATCGATTTTAAAAGTGCATATTTCTTTTACCATTTTGGGTTTCTAGTATTCAGTTTTAAACATTACTCATGATCCTATTTCTAATTAAGCTCATTTTAGCAATTAAAAACCTTCACTTCACCCCATTTCAACAAACACCTAAGATGCATAAGAAAAATACAAAAATAAAAACTCATGTTTTCTCATTACAAACAAAATTGAAATTTATACAACTTGAAAAGAAATTACATTATACTAATGTACTCAACTGAAACAATTGAACAAAACATGAATGTGTTACACTAGAATTAAACAATGACAATTTTAGCACCAACTACTTCAAGTTGATCCTTTGCTTCCATCGACACCAGGTCATTTTTTCGAACTCTCACTACAAAAAATATGTAATTTAGCGATCACCAAAATCGATCGCTATTTACCTTAGCAACCGAATTAGCGACCGAATTTAATCAGTCGCTAAAACCCTGGTCGCTAAGCTATTTAGTGACGGAAAAATTTTCGGTCGCTAATTCGGTCGTAAAATGGTTCAATGATTTTGGTCGCTAAAGTGTATGGGACCAAATGAGTGATCGAATAAATTGGTCATTAAATCGGTCGCTAAATATTTATTTTTTATTTTATTAAATTTTATAGACGTCGCAAATTTGATCGCTACGAACCACTCATATTTGGTCTCTTAAGGATTTTATTTCACAATACTTAACTTTTTAGCATGTTTTGTCCTTAATTACACAATTTTTGGAAACTACCCAGAAGGTCACTCATCCCTATATTACTCCAAGTCAAGCACGTTTAACTGTGAAATTCTTATGAGATAAGCTATCGAAAAGCAGATGCATGTTGTTAGTATAATTAGTACAAATTAATTCATTTAAGTCATCCTCAACTATCCAATCTCATACTTATATTATCTTTGGATCCTTATCATTTTGGTGTATCCGGACCGTTATAAATATATAATAATATATAATAATTATATTACTAATAATAATAATTATATTATATTTAATTAATCTTTATTTATATATATACTTACTTTTATATTTAACTAATATTTAGCGACCGAATTTAATTCCGTCGCTAAAAAATTAAAATTTCTGATTTAGCGATGGAATTGAATTCGATCGCTAAATATTAGTTAAATTTAGCGACCGAATTGAATTCGGTCGCTAAGTTTAACTAGTTTTAGCGACCGAATTCAATTCCGTCGCTAATTTTAACTAATATTTAGCAATCAAATTAAATTTCGTCGCTAAAATAATCAAAATTTCTAATTTAGCGAACGAAATAGCAATCGAATTTAATTTCGTCACTAAAAAATTCAAAATTTCTTATTTAGCGACCGAAATAGCGACCGATTTTCTAGCAACGACTTATTTTGGTCGCTAAATCGGTCTCTATTTTGATTATTCATAATTGGTCACTAATTTCGGTCGCTATTTTGCAATTTTCTAGTAGTGTTTGTCTTCTATCCATTGCCATTGGGGCGTTTCTCATCTCCTTCTAAGGCATCTGCCATCTCCTTCACGTACATATCCATTGCCACTACTTGAGGCATCGACCATCTTCTTGACGTACAGAACCATCGTCATCACTTGAGGTGTCTTCTCCTTCAAATACATATAAGTTGTCATTGCATGAGGCATCCGTCATCTCCTTCATGCATGGATCCGCAGTCCCCGCCTGAGGAGTTTGTCATATGCTTCATGTACAAATCCATCGTTGTTGTTGGGGCTTTTGTCATCTCTTTCACGTGCAAATCCACCATGTCGGTGACAATCTCCCATTGTAATGCGCTAGTTCTTCAGTGAAGAGGGCTTAAAAATCTACTCGATCCAACCTCATTCCTTGTCCCTTCTCTCATCAATACTAACACAAACAAGGAGAGAAGGAGAACTTCATAGAGAGAAAGAGAACCTCACCTTCATGACAAGATCAACAAAAAGAGCAAAGGCAATGACAAATGAGCATGGGGCAGTGGCGAACGAGTAGGAGGCAATGATAAATGAGCAGGGGTGGCGATGAACAAGTAGGAGACAACAACAAACAAGCAAGGGCGACAAAGAAGAGACCTAGGAGAGGAGAGTGAGAGTGAAATGGGTTTGAGAGAAAGAAAACACTATATCAACCAATAAAGATTATATTCTAATAATAATATATATATATATATATATATA